AAAAAAAAATAGAAGAAATAAATAATTCAACCAGATGACAGCTAAATCACAGCTCAAGGCCCACCAGAACATCCCACTCCCCCCCCTTTTTTAATAATAAAAAGAAGACAAATTGTAACTCATTTGGAAGGCTGAGTTTAGTTTTCATTGAAGCCCAAACTACAAAGCTAAAGCTAACAAGAACAAATCCATACAATATTAGGCAAAATGTTACCCAAAATGCTAATTATGTAACTATCAATAATTGTTGACAACAGAATAATGTAATAGTTGTTAAAAGGTAGTCGGTGGAGGAGAATATTCCGGCCAAGGTTGGCCACACACGAGAAAGATCCGACGGGTGGCTTGTTGGTATCACGAGTTATTGGTCCATAAATTTTTGTGGTGGGCAATGAATGGCATAGAGGTGACATTGATACAGTGCACATTTAATCCAAGTTTTTAAGATTTGTTGCTGTAGTAGTTTCGTTTATTTCTGTTGTCAAATCACAAAACTCTTGCACTAAATTAACTACTAGCGACGCTCTATCAAAATACTTTACTACCCTGTTTCCTCTGTTTACATTTATTCCTATTCTAAATTTTCTAATTTACTACTCTACCCTGTTTCCTCTGTTTACATTTATTCCTATTCTAAATTTTCTAATTTACTACTTACCATTTAGGGCTTGATTTTGTTCTGATTTAATATTTAATTGGATAAAATTTTAAAATAATTCAAGAACTTTAACCCTTATTATTTCTAGAAAACTTGTTTAACATTTATTATTACTATTTGTCGGTGAGGAGTCAATTCGAAATTCCTCACATTTCTTTACTTTTCTTGAGCTACAATTTAAACTTCAGTTGGGCGCATTTCTCCGGCCGCCCGTATTTGGTGGCAAGATTGTCAATGCCTTAAAACTTTTTAGCCTTGAATAGGGACAGATGATTCCCAGTTTACTTCCTGTGATCCAAACAACAGCTTGCTTACAACTTTTCAACCGTATGTCGTGAATAAAAGCAATACGCCACTTTAGTTTCTGCTTCAACTTTGATTATTATCTTCACAACTCCATAATATTACTTTACTTTAAATAGAAATATTTCTTTAGAAAGATAAAGGTGAAGTGAAACATTTTCATTAATGTTTAAAATCATTCATAATAAGTGAATATATTATACCCTACTATTAAAAAATAATTAAACGATTTTAAAAAATTAAATTCATTCAAAATAAATAAATATCAATAAGCAAATTACGTGAGATATACATTGATTTATATAATTATGTTTATGAAATGATTTTTAAGAAATCGACCTATGCAGTTGTTTCCGAGGCCAAATGGTAAATGACCTTCTCGTTGCATTTAGTAATATAAAAATTTCATTTAGTTATTGGGAACAAAAAATTGGGAAAGGATAATAAAGACGATGAATTGGTTTATTGAAATGAGACATTAGATTTATTAAACAATGTTAAATGTTCGAAGTTTAGTATTTACGAATGGAATAAACTGAATTAGAAAGATTGTCTCCGTAATAAATATTTGTAAAATCCGATTTGAATTAATTGACCAATAAATATTGATGATTAATTAAAAAAGGACTATCAATAACGAGATGTATTAGGAGTAAACAAAGAATTAACTGTTGATACACAGATGGTAATATGGCGGATATAGACATTTTACTTTATTTAATATAGAATAGTGAATCGTAAGGTACAATAGATTGAGGAATAAAGAGAATGAAAAACTAGTGGTACAGGTTAAAGATGATAAAAGTGATTAATTTTAAATTTTTATGTATTTTGAATGTATTTTATGTATGTTATGAAGTGATATAATAATTGAGAAAGAATTTTATGATTGATAAACAAATTCATTTGCTAGACAAATTATTATGATAATGGAATTTATTACAATAAATAAATATTGCTAGACAAATTATTATGATAATCGTAATTTTTTTTATTCACAATGGCTTATGATGTGTCTAGAACTCGATGCATGTTACCCATCCCCTTCAAAGCTCGATAATGATGATGAATTATCATCATTCATTAAGCATTGAACTTGCATAGATAGCTACCCTTTCTATCTGGTCCAAATGCATTTTACCAACATCAAGTGGCTCAACGCAAAAGAAAACGACATAAATCGAGGGAGCGTTTGGCCCCCCTTTTACGGGTCCCACGCGTCACGTTTTGCAGGGAGGCGTCGAAAAAGATAGATAACAAGGGCCCTCTATCCCCGCGTTCCCGCTATGGAATTGCACCGCGTCCGTTTTCCTTATTCCACTTTTTTCCAGTACACTATTTTTGGGTTGCACGCGTTTGGGATTACCTCACACCAACGCCAACCGCATTTGGCACCCGCCACTGTCCGTTGAGCATGGTAAATTATCTGTTAATTGTAAAATGAATGAAATTCTGTTCATAATTAATATATATAGGGATAAGATCATGTTACACAATGTAAATTTTTTGAGTTTCGTACAGATTTAAGACTGTTGGATAAGTGAAAATAGATAGTTGAGATTAACTCATTATTTTTTTCAGTGAATATCTTCTCATTTTATATTGTTAATCTCAATCATCTACTTCAGTTAGCTAACAATCCTAACTCTATATAAAAATAAATAAATTGTGTAACAGAATCTTATCTTTTATATATATATATATACGTTTTTTTGGGATAGTTTTGAGCCAATCGTATGCCCAAATTTCAGTTCTAAATGCTTAAGAAAAGGAAAGTGTTTCACGCTTAATCATTTACGAAATGTTTAATGTATTCTTATTATCTTGCACAATCATAGCAATGGCAAGTTGGCATTTTTTTTTATAAATATCAAATTTCATATACTTGCTATGTGATACTTTTTTTATATATAAAATAAAACACTGGTAGCCATTTCTAAACAATCTCTAATTATTAAATTAAATATTATATCGCCAACATTACCTTTTATTATCGTATTAATCATTTCTTAACAATCTAACTCCATAATAATCTTATTTCACTGCCCTTGCTTCAACTACTCAAATTTGAAAAATAAATATTCAAAATTTCATGATACATTAAACAATAAACATATATTAATGTATTGTGTTTGCAATTCATTAATTGCATGCCAATATTGAATTATACTTATTTGACTCTTATTAAATAATCACCGGGAAAAAAAAGTCAAGTTGTTCTCGATGAGTAGAAGCGAAAGCAGAGGTTCTTCATCGTTATCCTTTTGTAGTATAATTCAAATTATTATTATGTAGAACTAACCGATTCTAATTTATTATCATTATCATGCCAACGAAAAATAATCACTTGGGGCTGGTACAGGTCACCAAAAGCCCGCGTGGACCCCCTAATCACAATTGAACCGTTACAAATGCCAGCCGGCAATGCTAGCTACTCTTGTCATAAACGACAAGTGTCAAGCGAAGGCTACTTTCACATGTCACATATATTTCCAATTTTTATTTTATCTTTATGTAAAAATTGATAAAATAATATTTTTTAATTATGTAAATATTCAACTTTTCTTTATACAAATTATTCTTACATATCTATATTTGTACCATATAGTTATCGTATTAATATCTGACAGAGCCTATGAGCAGTGGTTTAGATGGCCCCAATGGTATATATTTTATACTCTTAATTAGCCGCATGATAAATCTAAGAAAATAAGTCAAAAGGACTTTGATATAAAATTAACAACTTAATATTATTATTATTATCTTAAACCATCAAAAATAATAAATTAAAAAATTTATCTAAATTAACTGAGTAAATTACAATTTTTAAATCTTTATTTGATTATTATTACAAGAAGATATATTTTCTTTTGTCGTAAAAGTTCTCTAGCGAGATAAGAGTAATACAAGTTAATTTGTTTTTTGGGATCACTACCTTTTTATATAGATCAAATATTAAGTCATTCTTTTAAGTATTTATGATTCTAACCTTCATCAAATTATAAATACAACTTATAGTATCTACACTTTTATTTTATGACACTTTAATACCAATGACACGTGTAACATAATTAGTCACTTAATTATGTGTCATACTTTATGATGACAATGTACATTATACATATGTACCTACAATTATGAATTTATCAAACAAATTGATTAATGTTTTTTTTGGATAAGTAAATTTTTATTATCCAATAAGAAAGTTCAACAAATAACAATCATCCCAAGAGGGATAAAAAGCCCCTATTTACAACAAAAAATTGATTAGTCAAGGCCCCAAAGGCTACAAAAATTAGAATTAACATGATCAATCCTATTAATGTCTTTATTACTAAGCTGAATACGAACAAATTCCTTGATAGACTTGAGAATTTGATATGTTGTTCTTGATCCACCTTTAAAAATCCTTATGTTTCTTTCCTCCCAAATTAAGTAGTTAGAAGCGTTCCAAGCAATTCTTAGGATAATAGAAAGTAAGGATTTTCCCTTCCATTTTTGAGCAGCACATTCAATCCTTGAATTCCATGTCCTATGAGTATCTCACAAGTTGGTAAGAGTCATGATAGAGTTCCAGATAGAAGAAGCATAGACAGTTAAAAAAACAAGTGGTTTTTGGATTCCGATTCGTTATTGCAAATGATACAAAGTTGGTCATTTGAGATTCCCATTCTAAAAAGTCTATCACGTGTAGGAAGATGGACAAGAATAATTATCCAAGAAATCATACTTTGTTTGGGAATGTGGAGAGGAAACCAGAGCAATTTTTGCCATGAAACCTTTTCTCTATGCTCCCTTAATTCATCCCAGATAGCAGAGGTTTTAGTGATTCCAGCAGAAATAATAGGAAGGGCCTGTATTCTAAGTTTGAGAAGCTTTCTAATGCTCCAGCTAAAGGAAGAACTAACATTGATGTCACTTAATTCACTATTTTTAATAACATAACAGTGAATCCAAGCAACCCACATAGAACCATTTCTCGCAATAAGTTTTCGAATGAGTTGAATCATGCAAGCCTTGTTCCACGAATTAAGATCCTTCAAACCAAGGCCTCCTTCAGATTTGGGGCAGCATAGTCTATTCCAGCTAATCCTGGCTCATTTGACAGCTTTATCGAATCCTTTCCAAAGGAAACGAGAGCAAAGCTGCTCAAGACGATTGATAACCTTTTGGGGAATGATGAACTGTTGGAACCAGAAATTAACAACACTATAGAGGACAGTTTTTATAAGTTCAAAACGACCAACATAGCTTAAATATTTTCCAGACCAATGGTGAAGTCTAGTTTTGAAGCTGTCAAGAAGAGGAAAACAATCTATTTTAGTAAGTTTCCTAGTGACCAAAGGAACTCCAAGGTATCTAACTGGCAGAAAACCTTGTTTAAATCCAGTGGCAGATTTGATAGATTCAAGAGTTCCAGTATAAATTCTAGCAACATAGAATTCAATCTTATTGACATTAAGACTAAGGCCAGACAGGGAATAGAAGTGGTTGAGAACACTGATAACACCAACAATAGACTCAAGATTACCTTTGCAAAATATTAGAAGGTCATCAGCAAAAGATAGATGAGTGATACATAACTTCTTGCCTTTTGGATGATATCCAAAAATTCCTCTAGCAGCAGCAAGATTGAGGATTTTAGAGAGAATGTTCATAACCAGGACAAAAAGAATAGGAGATAAATGGTCTCCTTGCCTAATACCTCTATGTCATTCGAAAAATCCATTAAATGATATGGAGTATCTAGCTTCTCTGTAACAAGCTTCAATCCATCCTATGAAAGTGTGAGGCAGTCCTATGGCAACAAGAGTAGAAGAAATTAAGTCACAGTTGAGAGAATCAAAGGCCTTTTGTAAGTCAATTTTTACACCAGACCTTGGGGAAATATTTTTCCTGCCATAGCCTTTCACTAATTCTTGTGCAATAAGGGTGTTGTCAATTATGGATCTCCCTTTCACAAAAGTAGATTGATTGAGAGTAATAAGATCTGGTAGCACCAAAGAGAGTCTTTTAATAAGAATTTTTGTGATAATTTTGTATACCACTGAATAGCAAGAAATGGGTCTGTAATCATTAACTTTGATGGGGTTATGAATTTTAGGAATCAAGGCTAAAATGGTGGAGTTGAAAGCTTGGTGAATTATAGCCTCTTGAAAGAAGAATGTTACGACATTGATAACATCCTCACCTACCACAAACCAAGAGATTTTAAAGAATATATGAGTGAATCCATGAGGGCCTGGAGCTTTGTCGTTTCTTTGACTAAACAAAGCTTCTTTGATCTCTTCAGCAGAAACTGTTTTAGTAAGCTGAGCAGCAGTCTCAGTAGGTAGAGAAAACCGAAGCAGATTTTTCAAGAAAGCATAATAAGAAGGAAGAATATTAGGGTCAGAAGTTCCTAGTTGCTTCTTGAAATAATCAATGATCTCATTGGCCATATCATCATAAGACTCAAGTCTTTTACCCTCATTGTTGATAAGAACCCTGATGGTATCTCTTTTGAATTTAGAGGCAATAGTAGTGTGAAAGAGTTTAGAGCATTTGTCACATTCTTTAATCCATCTCACCTTTGCTTTCTGTTTAAGGAACATAAGTTCATTATCCTCTAGGGCAATTAACTCCTTTTGGACATTTAGTTCTTTTTCTAAAGAATTCTGCCCATTTAAAATAGATAATTGAATCTGCTCTAGCTCAGTTCTCTTTTGCTTTACCCTTGCAGAGATGTCACTATAATTATCCTTGTTTAATTTCTTCAAGCAAGGCTTTAAACGTTTAAGTTTAATGAAAAGTTTTTGCATAGGGTTTCCTTGAGTAGGAAGGTGCCAGGAGGAAAAAACTTATTCAAGAAAATTTGGGTGCTTGGTCCAGAAATTAAAGAATTTAAAAGGTTTTGGTCTATTGGTTTGAGTCTCTTTAGAAGTCTCAGGAGTTTCGTGATTAATGATCATAGTGACCGTAGCAGGTGGATCGATGTATACACTCTCACCATAAAGTTGTCATCTATATAGTTTAACCAAAGCGTCCGCAACATGATTCTACATATGAGAAACTTGACGGATCTAACTTTCCCAATCATTTTGAATCAAACAGTAAATCAAATTCATAAGAATATAATCTCGTAGAGTAAAACGATACTAATTTGTTTAATGTATTTAATGGATTATTTAACCCTAATTAAGCATCATTTAAAAAAACCTAATTACCAGTCAACTATATAAAAAATGAGTTTAAGAATGAATGTGATTAATATGAGCTGGTAAGGTGGCATTAACAGTAATTCAACTTTGATTAAAGATTAATAATAAAAAACTTTGATTAAAGCTAAAGTGGGATCGATGAATATTTTCTTTTTTCTTAGTTCAAATCAAATAACGTGTGTATGTTTAGAAACGAGAATAATATTTCTTTTCTCTAATTTTCTTTTCTCTTAGGGTGTGTTTGTTTCACGTAATTCGTTTTTTGAAAAATGTTTTTCCGTGTTTATTTCATGTAATTCGTTTTTCGAAAAATATTTTCCGTGTTTGTTTCACGTAATTGGTTTTTCGGAATGTAATTCATTTTCCTAGTAATAGAATTTCATGTGTTTTCTGTAAAATGACTTACGGATTCATTTTCCGTAAGTCATTTTCCGAACTTTTTACTTTAAAGAATAAAAACTCAAACTAATTTTATTTTATGAATTTAATATGAATAAAATATTTTAATATCATTTTCATCAAAATATTATTTATTTATTAAATATTTATAATATATAATATTATTTTTAATATTATATAAAATAATCAATTATATTATAATAATAAGATATTATATTTTATTTTAATATATATAATAAAAAATTAATATATTTAATAATGAATAATATTATTATATATTTAATAATATTTTAATAAATATATTTAAAATATACTAATTATTTTTAAAATATAATATAACACTATTACTTTAATAAATAATAATATAATTTATAATATTTTTATTTCACTAAAATATACAAAAATTATTATTTTTATAATAAAGTTATAAAAATAATATTTAATAATAAATAAATTATTTAATATTTTAAAATAATATATTAAATATTTATGATAAATAATTTATTTATTATATTTAATATTTGTAATAAATAATTTTTAAAAAACTCTTCAACTAGTGGAAAAAAGGTTTAAATAACATCTTCCAAACATCATAAAATGTTTTTCATATGTTTTTCAGAAAAATGTAATTCATTTTACGGAAAACATTTTCCGGAAAATGTTTTCCAGAAATGTAATTCATTTTTCAGAATTTAAATTCCAGTAATTCATTTCCCAGTTCCAATAATTCAAATTCCAGTAATTTATTTTCTGAAAAATCAATTACAAACAAATAAACATACCCTTAGTTTAAGAAAGAATACTTTGACTTGTGAAAGGTGTAATTACGATGAGAGAGGGAAAACAATTTAAAATCAAATAACAAACAAATAAACATAGTGTAAAGTCAATATATGAAAAAGAAATAAAGAAAAGAAAAGAAAAGGGAGAAGTACTCTTAAATTCTTAATTAATAAGAATATAAGGTTAAGAATACGCACGCAATTCGGAGCCAAAATATGCTTTAATTAAGTATTTATTTAGTTTTTTTACATCTCGTTGTTAGCTAAATAAATATATCAAGTAAATAAAAAATATTAAAAGAATTTTTTATAATATTTTTTTATTAAATTTAAATAAATTATTGATTAAAAAAGAAAATTTAAATAAATATATCTATATTTGTTGTTTGAATTACTTTTATTAATAGAGAATATAAGTTGTACTTAACTTTTTCTCTAATTAATAAAAACTGTATAACTTTAAAGTTTGGTTTATTTTACGAGGACGATGACATTATTAGTAAAAATGAGGTTTATTATTAAGTGAGCAAATAGAATAGGAAAGAAGTGATTAACCAATCATTATAGAGAGATACGACTGTTTCTTTCAGGTGGTCCCTTCAACCAACAACTTTGCCCTTCAAGCATCAAATCCCATCACCATCTCCATCTCCATCTGTCTGGTCTCTCTCATCTAATCGATGACAACTTTGGGGATAAATTACATAACTGACATCGTTTTTTTTAATTTTCTCTTTCTGATACCGTTTGACCAATATTTTCAGAAGTAGCACCTTTTCTGCTGAGTTGGTAAAGGCGCGTCCCCGGGGACGCGCTTTACCCGTGTTTTCGCTGAGTTGGATGCCACGTGTGGAAGGCGCGTCCCCGGGGACGCGCCTTTGTCATATCAGCAGACACGTGTGGAAAGCGCATCCCTGGGAACGCGCCTTCCATTAAATGTCATAAATGCCCCCATCCGTTTTTCCTAACTACCCCTCCTCCTCCCCTATATAAACTCACTCAACCCTCCCTCATTCTTCACACCAAAATCATATTCTCCTCTTTATATACTCAAATTCTCCAACTATTTGAGTTTTAAATTTGTTATTAGTGGTAAGAAATTTAATTTTATGTTAGTATTTTTTAAATAGTTATTATTTTTTATATTAATATATTTATGTAAATATTATTTTTTTTAAAAATAATATTTATATAATTATTATTTATTTAGAATTATTAATTTTTTGCTAATTATATGTTTTGTCTACAGTTCTAATGGAAAACGAAATGCTGTTGCGATTGGATATTGATCATATCTCCAGACATTTTAGCGATATGGTAATTTTTTTTATAATTAATGTTAATATTTAAATTATTTTATTTTAAGTTATTATGAATTTATATTAATTTTATTTTTTTCTAATGTATATTATTTAGGATGCTGATCGTATTTTAGAGACTTTTATTAAAAATCCACGTATACCGACACCAGAACGTATTTTGCCATTGGCTTTGCCGGGTTCAGGTATATTGCAACAATTATAGGCGGTTGCAAACTCGAACCTGTCCTAATTTCTGCACTGATTGAGAGGTGGAGGCCCGAGACACACACTTTTCACCTTCCATGTGGAGAGGCAACAATTACATTGGAGGATGTCTATGCATCTGGGGCTTCCCGTCGACGGAAATATGATGTGGTATGGCGGATGGTGATTGGCAATCAATGTGCATTGATTATCTTGGAGCTGCTCCGCCAGAGTTTAATGGAGGTAGAATAGCTTTATCTTGGTTGAAAGCTAATTTTGAGGTTTTAATGAAAATGCTTCAGAGGATCAAGGAAAGGCATGTGCTCGGGCATATATTCTACGAATAATTGGAGGAATATTGATGCCCGACAAATCTCGCAACCAGGTGCATTGTATGTGGTTGCGGCATCTGATCGATTTTGATGAAGCTGGAAGATATAGTTGGGGTGCTGCTTTGGCATTTCTTTAGAGAAATGTCGGGCGACGAATTATAAGAAAACTGCTATCGGTGGATGTTTTCTGCTTCTACAATCATGGGCGTGGTTCCGCATGCCTTTTTATGCCCGATCGTGAATGATACGTATTTCCCTTATTGTTGAGGTAATTTTCGAACTAAATTTTGATTTAAATATTTTCAATTAAATAGGGTGATATTTAGTTTATATTATATTTCATAGGTGGTCGATGAAAAGAAATGACCATAAAAGTATACCTACTGGGTTAGAGGAATTCGTTTTACTTATTGATACGAAAGCTGGGTCTGAGGTATGTT